CCCCTATCAGGGGACTTGGAAAGGGGCAGGGAGGAGACCAGGGAGGGAGTGTGGGGTTGGGGAGGGAATGAGGGAGCGGGATACAGCTGGGACACAGAGTTAACAAAATGTAACTAAAAAGAAAAATAAAATAAAAAAAAAATTAAGAAACTTAACCTCCTTTTCAAAGTTTATTTTGGGCAGGCGAGATGGCTCAGTGGGTAGAGATACCTACCAAGTGGGATGAACTGAGTTAAATCTCTGGGACCCACATATCAATAGGAGAGAATTGATCCCTGCAAGTTGTCCTCTTATCTCTGCAGGTGGCACATGAGTACTATAACACACACACACATGCACGCACAATAAATGCAAACAAAACTTTAACTTTTTTTTTAAATCTATTTAGTTTTTAAAGAGATGCAATCTCATTATATTACTCAGGCGCTGGCTCTAAACTTCTGGGCATAAATGGTCCTTCTGCCTTAGCTTCCCAGGTAACTGGAATTATACTATAAGACAGGTGCGACCACATCTATTTACCCTCCTTTAAAAAAAAAAAGTTTACATTAGAGAAAGCATCAAAGTCAGAGAATTTTGTTTCTAAGTGTGTTAGTATGTTATATATGTATCACCAGTCATATGTAAAATTACTTTCGGTGTGATAGATACTTTTAGACTTTTTAATATTTATTTATTTTAATAGTATTTAGGGGGAAATAATTTAGAACATCAAAACTATTATTGCACATACATTATGGCTTAAAACAAACTAAGGATATTATAAGATGATATTTAGAAGGCATTAATCATGAAATTAGTAGGTGGATATACAAAAAAGACAAAAGTAAAACACAACAAAAGTAAGCTTACTTCTTATTAAGAATCACTTTTCTATGACTGCTGGGTAGCTCAGTGGGTAAAAGTGCTTTACGATGCAAGCCTAATATCCTGGACACAGGTTTGAAACCCAAAGAAAAACCACATGTGGTGGCTCACAAGCACAGTCCCCGCACTCCCATGGCAAGCTGAGAGGCAGCAGCAGAATCACCAGAAAGCTCATGCAGACGGCATATTATCCGCATGCCTACTGGGGCATGTGCATGCTTCTTCCACTCACACAAGCAAACAAAAACCAAAATAATCATTGTTCTAATTCATCCACAAATCTCAGAAGAGGAAAAATATAAGAATCATAACTTGGCCAGGCAGTGCTGACATATGTGGGAGGCAGAAGCAGGTGGATCTCTGTGAATTCAAGGCCAGCCTGGTCTACAAATGGAGTTCATGACAGCCAGGGCTACACAGAGAAACCCTGTCTCAGAAAACCAAAACCAAACCAAATAAAAAACAAAAATAATCGTAACTTTAGGACAATTATACCAACACCTGTACATGCTAAAGCATAAATACCACTGTGGTATAAATCATAATTCACCTTACAGATCTTGAATTAGAGAGAGAACGACAACATGCTTCAGCTGCCATCTTTTGGACTTCTCACTAATGGATTCCAGACACTAAGCAAGGCTGATACTATCAAGTAGGCTTGTTCTGAGAGACACAGCAAGATAGCAAAGTCTGACTCTTATTTTTCTGACTCTGTCTTTGTTTCTCTCTCTCTCTTTCTCTCTGTCTCTATCTCTTGGTCTCTCTCTTTTCTTCATTTCCATCTCTACTCACTTTTCTTGACAGGGTCTTGCTCCATAGCTCCAGCTGATCTAGAGCTCCAGCATGTTGGGATTACTAAAGGTGCCACAGTGTAACCTACCTGTTTGTTTCATTCTTTTCTTTCCTTCTTTCTTTTCACATAATACTTGTACATATTTATAAGACATATCACAATAATTTCATATGTATGCAAAATATAATTATCAAATCAGGGTAACTGGAATTTCCAAGTCCTCAAACATTTTTCAATTTGATGTGTTGGAAAACTTTAGACTCTCTTTTTTTCTAGTAATTTTAAAATATAACACTTTGTTGTCAAGTACAAACACTAGAACTAATTCCTCTTCCTACCTATATGTACTTTGCTACCCTTTATGTAATCTCTATCTGATCTCCCGACAACCTTAGTTTCTACTGACCACTAATTCTTCTTTCTTCTATGAGATAGCTTTTTTTTTTCTTTTTTTTCTTTTTTTTTTTTTTTTTGTAGGGTGGTTCCAGTCATCTGCCTTTGCTTTTTCTTTCACAGAAAGCAGGCTTGTAAAACACTCCAATAGCTCCTCTAGTATTTCCTAGTCCACTCACCGCTTTCTATAATAAATTCTTAATGTTTTGTTTTCTGGCCTGTTTCCCAGAAAATCCATATTAGCACACTGCTCCAAAAGTCTCAGGGTTTCAGATAGCTTTCATTTCCTCTGCCAATATTTTTGTTTTAAAGTAAACAAAAATATAAGAGCACTTCTCTAGAACTAAAGCTTATATGACTGAAACTGAAAAGTAATTGGTTTACAACCATAAGATAAAAATATGGGTCATTTTGTTAAGCAAATTTTCCTGAAATTTGAAGTCAACTTCCAATTAAAGAAAGAAAGGAAGGAAGGAAGGAAGGAAGGAAGGAAGGAAGGAAGGAAGGAAGGAAGGAAGGAAGAAAGGAAACCAACCAACCAAACAACCACAAAACCTGGAAGTGGGACTGAGAAGTAAACAGGCTAGAAAGATGGCTCAGCGGAGAAAAGCAATGGCTGCCCTTGCAGAGCTCCCAGTGCCCCATACGTGGCTGTCTACGGCTCCTGTTCCAGGAGACCTAACACCCTCTAAGAGCACCATGCATGCATGTGACATACTTAAAAACATGCAGGGAAAACAGCCATTCACATAAAATATTTTTTAAAATAATTTTCACAGTGCCAGGGAAGCCACCATGGAGGGGAGACAGAAAAATGGGGGAAGAGAAAGTGTGTGTGCAGAAAAAAAAGAGAGGTAAAGGAGAGGCAGAGAGAGAGTGTGTGAGAGAGAGAGAGAGAAGAAACACAGAAAGAAGGAGGGAAGAAAACCAGAGCACAATTTTCTTTCTTTAAAGAAAACAAAACAAAACAGACTTACGTTCTCAGGTAGGTTTCTGGCAATGGCACTGTGTGGCATGGGCTCAATGCAAAGTAAGTGAGTAATCTCTCTCATTATAACTTCCTCTTTGGTAACATTTCCCACTCCAGGTACATAACGTTCTCCTAATAAACAAACAAACAAACAAACAAAACAAAACAAACAAAAAAACAAAACCAGAACATTTCATTCGTTTCTGTTTAAATTTTGTTCTAACAGATGTACTTATACCCAGAACATTGCATTAAATTAGGTCTAGAAAAGACAATTCAAAATTATTTTAATATTTTCCCAAAATAAAAAATAAACTATTTGTTAAAATAGAGAAGCCATTCAGTGGCCTGAAGACCTCATCCCTTATTTTAACTTACAGTAATGCCAGCACTTGGGAAGCTCAGATAGGAGGATCACAAACAGAAAGCTAGCCTGGGTCACATAACAAGACCAGGTTTTAAAAATCAAATCAGTAGATTGGAGAAGGTGGCTCCGTGGGTAAGAGCACGTATTTCTCTTATAGAGGATCCAAATTCTATTCCTAGAATCTCTACCAGGACTCTCACATCTGCCTACTAACTCAGCTCCAGGAGACCTCTGGACTCAAAGGGCACCCATTCACACATGCACATTCCCACATCTACACTGAAAATAATAAATCTTTAAGGTCAGGCATGCTGGCACATGCCTGTAGCACCAGCACTCAGGAGGCAGAGGCAGGCAGATCTTTATGAACTGGAGGCCAAGTTCTACATAGGGAGTTCTGGGTCGGCCAGAACTGCAGTGAAACCCTGTCTCAGAAAGAAAAGAAAAAAAAAAAAAAGAAAAGCAGACCATTCCAGCTCTGAGGGATTTGATGCCCTATTCTGTCCTCCACATACATGTACAAGTCCACACACACACACACACACACACACACACACACACACACACACACACACACACACAGGCAGAGAGAAAGAAATAAACATATCAAAAAACAAAATAAAAACTGAAAAGTAAAATTAATAGCTTACATGATAAAACAGTACTAGGCATCAAGCCTAGGACTCACACATGCTAGGCACATATCCTACCACTGAGCTACATCCCCAGGACCAGGATGCAAATACATAAACAAAAAACCCTTTCAAATAAAAATTATTTATTTGAAATTGCTAAATCAATTGTAGGAATGTCTCTGGTATCAATAATATCTAATTCCCATTGCTTGAAGAAGACATCTGAACATATGGCATCCCTGTTTATTTATTTTTTAATGTATATACTTGTGTAAACATTTATATATATGTTAACATACCTACACACACATATATAAATATAAATGTTTAGGTATGTGAGCATGTGTGTATGCAATTGTGTGTGTGTGTAGACCAGAAATCAATGTCAGGGGTCTTCATTGCAGGGGTCTTGCTCTCTTCCTTATTTCTAAGATAGACACCCTCACTGAATCTGGAGCTGATTGATGCAGCTAAACCTGCTGGCAAACATGCTCGCTAGGGATCCTCCTGTCCTGGTCCCTCAGTTCTGGGATTACGGGTCTGTGCTGTGTTCCTCTCCAGCTTTTACATACGTATTGGAGATTGAACTCAGGTTCTTGTGTCTGCACAGTAGGCAGTTGACCAATTTGAGTCACTTCTCTGGTCCTACTGAAATTTTCATTGACATACATTCATTAAACATAGTAATAGGCTTCATAAGGATAATTGCTTTTGGCTGTATCATGGTCCTTTGACCATACTGACCCCTCATACTATCCCCCTTCCTTCCACTAGTCTCCTTTCTTCACCCCTCCACTCTGCCTTTATGACCTATTCACCACTTCATGACATATTCACCACTAGCTTTCAGCTCTATAACATTTATACAAAACCTATGATATCTTTAAGAGATTCTTTTAGATAGCTCTAAATCATACACATTCCACAAAGAATTTGTTAAATAATTTATTTCCAATAACTCGTTCTGACATTTGTAAATTTTATAATTTTATTTTATAATTTTCATATATATATATTTACCAAAGGGGTATCCCCCAGGATCACAGTCCCAGAAGCAACCTTAGAGTAGGTTTCTTTCACACTGTATGCATTAGGAATCTGACACTCAAAGATTATATAGCATGTTCTTAACTGAAAGCAAGGCTAAGACTTTATCATCTAACTCCTAATCCGAACATTTTCTACTTATTTACATTTTTCCCTTTATAAAGCAGAACCGAGGCTTGAAAGATGGCTCACTGTTTAAGAGAATTTGCTGCTCTTGCAGAGAACTAAGTTTTGTTCCCAGTGCCCACACGGTGGCTCGCAACCACCTTTCTCACTCTATTTACACAAGCATGACATGATAAAAGCATTTAGCTTAGACCCAAGATATATTTAAATTTCACGCAAATATGTAAATGTTAACACTAAATAAGTAGATGAAAAAAGTCTACATTTACAGCCAGGAGACTTGTACCTCAAGCTCCAAAGTCTAACAATTAAAAATCAAGAATAAAAATTAAGAGGTTACTGGGAATGTAGTACAGTGGCAGAGCATGCCTAACATGTCAAAGGCCCTGGGTTTGATCTCCAATACTGAGAAAACAAAACATGCAAGCTTCATTTTAAAAGAACTTTCTAAATCTATCCATTACACTGGTCACATTAATCTGATATTTTATGCAGCACTTAGATTATAAGACAATTATAAATTATATTTAACATTCTCTAAAAAGTAAGTTGTGTTCGATTTCAAAACATTTTGTTTTAATCTTACCCACAATATAGATGAGGACCTGAAGCATTTCTTCTATTAATGTATTATACTGTTTAATCAAGTCCTACAAAATTAAAAAAAAAAAAAAAAAGTAACATAAGAACCACAAAACTCCATCAAATCTGCATTTCCTGACTGGACCCAAGATCCATCCAATCTTGAGTTTTCTTCAAAGTACAGCAACAGGCAGGTACCAAAACTCCCCCTTGACACATAAAGTACTCAATAACAGTTGTTAAAAACCGTCACTTTCTTCATTGTCATTTATCTCCACATAGTTATTTGTCCTAAGTCAACAAACTCTAATCTTTCCCTTTTTCTTCTATTAGCTCCCTCTTTACTTGGACAGTGAAAGTGGCTTAAAGTAGCTTCGGTAAGAATATCTTCCCTAAAACATTTCTTATTTAAGTTCTTCTGATAAAATCAGTTATTTTCACTAAGTGTAAAGTGACAAAAAATTAATTCCCTTTCTGTGGCCTATTATTTGGGCCTCTGTAGATGACGTCTAAGTCAGAAGCATGAAGTAATGGAATTTAATAAATTTAAAAGTCAAGGTTGCTGGGTCGTGGTGGTGCACACCTTCAATCCTAGCACTCAGGAGGCAGAGGCGGGTGGATCTCTGAATTCGAGGCCAGTCTGTTCTACCTAGCAAGTTCCAACACACAGGGCTACACACAGAAACCTTGTATTGAAAAACAAAAACAAAACAAAAAAAACAACAAAAAAACAGTCAGGGTTATTTTATAAGCTAGTACTTCAAATATTAAAACAATACAGATGTGACAGAGCACTATAAGACATATCACAAGTTGTGAAAAATGTAACCAATATAATAAAAATACTAAATAAGAAGCATTTACAAAAATAGAAAAGGAAATAAAAACATAGAAAAAAAGCTACAAAAGGAAGGAACAATTCACTAACTCCCCCAAGATCAATGATAATGAAAACCCCCAAAATAATGAAGCTGCAGGTGCCATCTTTCACTATCAGTTCGACATTAAAAACCCCATGCTATCAGAAACATGCATGTACCAATCTGTCAATACTTATTAAGGGCCTTAAGAAAAACCATGCTGTTTTATTCATCAAATCTACATATAAAATGTATCTTAAAATAATTAGGTATTTAATACTTATGTTACAGATGTTTGCAATATCAAAATTAGAAAAATTTTAGTAATAAGACAAAAGTATAATGCTTTCTGCATGCAATGGAAGGGCTATATAGTCATTTAAAAGCAATGATGTAAAAATTATCATATAGGTCTGGTATTTTTTCAGTTGCCCCAGAAGAAAAAAAATCTCACGGTAATATTTTGTTAAACATAGGATACAAATTATAAAATGGCATGTGTGAAATAAAGCTTTTGCTTTAAAAACTGAATAATGGCACTTTATTTTCTGAAGGCAGCATGTTAAGTGACATCTCTTTTCTTTGTTGATCTACACAGAGCCAACATTTTCTAGAGTGAAAAGAAAGTATGTACGCTTGTATACTGTGTATTCCCTGTGCATGTATGTCTGTGATGTTTGGAGTGTAGCTGTTACACAGAATGGGATGCACCATGGCACCTAGACATCTAGGACATCCCAACCAGGACATCAAAATTCAAGGATGCTCAAGTCCCTTATAAAGCGATGCAATATCTATGTATGACCTATACACATCTTGCCATATGCTTTAAAAGCACATCTACATTACTTATAATACCTAACACAAATGTAAATGTTGTCTAAATAGTGATTGTATAGTACTGCTTGAAAAAAGTTTGCACATTAGTACAGACACAATTTAAAAATATCAATCTGACCCCTAGTATGGTGTGTCTGTAGATGCAGAATCCAGATATGGAAGGCTAACTGTTTACACAAAGAAATACGACTTCCAAATGTAAGTAAAATGGTGACATGGCACTTCCTTTGGAATTAACCCACACATCAGTCTCCACAGCTTACCTGGTCTTTTGGGGCTATGGTCTTATTAAAGGCGTCAGCAAGTTCATACCTCTGAAGAACCAGTAACAAGAATTTGTTGGGATCCATTATAGATGCTCCAATCTGTGAAATTGAGTGTTGCATTTCCTATATTAAATCGAGGAACACTTGTCTCTAATAGTCCCTTCAGAAAATTACAAAATAATTTTGCAGAAGAAAACAGACTGACCATTCTATTTCTGTGCTATCATGTTCAATTAGTGGTGAGACAAACTCAAGTTTATAACAGTTATCTCTTATTTTAAGGAACAAAAAGGAAAAGAAAATCTAAAGAAGAGTAACTTAGATACCTGAAGCATGATGATATCTTTATCATACATTTCTTCCCTGCATTTAACATCTTGATAATAAAAAACCTGTAAAAGAAATGATAAGACAGATGCTAAAATAATTTATTTGAATAAAAACAATTTTTACCAGGTATGTGTTATTTTTACATGTGATGAGCATGTGTGTATTTCTGTTGTGTGTGAGTGTGTGCATGTGTGTCTTTCTGTCTGGTGTATGTGTGTGTGCAAACCAGATGTTAACATCAGCGATTTTCCTCAATCGCTGTTCATTTTGTATAATTAGTAGGATCTCTCACCTTAAGCCAGAGTGCCCTGATTTGGCCAGTCTAGCTAGCCAACTAGCTGTGAGGCTTCCATGACTCCATATTCTACAGCAAGGATTACAGGGGCTAGCATAGCCACCTAACTTATGTGGGTGCTAAAACCCCAAACTCTGGTCCTCATGTGTGTACAAAAAGAACTTTACCCACAGGGATATCTTTTAGCCCTCAGAAAACAAAAACAAACAAACAAAAAAACCTTAACAGTAGGGTCTCAGCTAGATGGCTCAACAGGTAAAGATGCTGACCAGGCAATCCCTGAGACCCATATGGTGGAAGCAGAAAACCAATTCCTTTAAGATGTTGTCTGACAAAACATACTTTAAGACTTTCCATCAGTTAGAAATTCCTGGATCTGCTTAGTGTTTTGTTTTTTGTTTTTTTTAAGTTACAGTCTATGACTTGTTTTAAGAGATTGTGAGAATTAAGTATGGAAATACAGAGAAAAAAATAGCTATTTATCAACATGTATTTTTCCTTTGTAAAATACCTATTGTAATCCAATAACTGTAATTGCAAACCAATTTCTACACCAAATCTAGGTGTGGTAGTTCACATCTGTAAAATATCAGCACATGGGAGGCTGATAGAGGAGGACTGTCGTATGTTTGAGGTCAATCTGGGCTACAGAGACCCTGTCTCAAAACAAGAGTAACAACAATAAAAGGAGCCAGAGTGTCTGCCTACCATGTAAAGGGCAGTGGATTCAATCTGGAAAGGAAGGAAGGAAAAAAAAGAAAAAAGAGAAAAAAAAAAGAAAAAGGAAGGAAGACAGGAAAGAAGAAAGGAAGAAAGGAAGGAAGGAAGAAAGGAAGGGAGAAAGAGAAAGAAAGAATGAAAGAAAGGAGGGAAGAGAGAGGAAGAAAGAAAGGAAAAAAGAAAGGAAAAAATCGTAACACCATTTTCCTCTAAGTGGTGGCTTTTAACGTCTGTTCCCTGATCTTTTAGAAAAAGCACTTTTCCCCATTTCTCTAAAACAGAAGAAAAAATAATTAAGGTAGCCACTGTTACTGTTTTTAAGTGGTGCTGGGGACTGAGCCCAGAGCTGCACACAAGATTTCAGCACTGAGCTACATTCTCAGCCTACAGGGCAGCCTTTGCTTAGCGCAATGAGTGCTCCCCTCCAATATTCAGTGACCACCACAGAGAAAGACAAATACGGGGGCTGGAGAGATGGCCCTCCCAGAGGACTGGGTTTGATTGCCAACACCCACAGCTCACAACCACCTTAACTCTAGTCCCACAGGATATGAGCCCCTCTTCTGACATACATGTTACTCAGACAAACATACTGGCAGACAAAACACACACACACACACACACACAGAAATATAAAATGAAATAGAACAGATGGTAAGAAGACTCAATGTCTCAGGGGATAGGTGAGTGGGAGACGCCTGTGCTACTACCAGCTTTCATCTCTCTACTCAAGCACCTAGCTTCTTATCGTTCAGATGGGATAAGTAGTAAGTAGGAAAAAGGAAAACCACTTATAGGATCCCCAGAATTTTCATATAAAAGAGATTACACCAGAGAAGAAAAGCAAATATTTGGCAAACTGTATGGACACAGGGTAAGTCACCTAAAAAACCACTCATTCACAGATGTGCATAACCGACTGTGACATACCTGGCTAATGAGAGAAAGCCCATTTCTGCGCCACATCTCAGCAACAACCTGGGCAACCAGCACCAGACATCTCAAAGGGTACTCCACTAGGACCTCTACTTGAAAGCCCTCCTGAAACACAATGAGGTCCCTTTCATTATTCCTCACACTACACATGCCTCAGCTTAGGCAAGAAGTCCACGAAGTGGGAGAGCTTGCCTTTCAAGTCTTAGTATTCAGCTTTCAACAAGATGCAGCCAGCTGTGAAGTAACTAAATGTGAGTATTCAGAGAGGTTAAAAACGTAATTTTCTTTCCCACCACCAGTGGAGATGACCAGAAAAGGGGATAAACAAATCAATACTTAAGAGTTACTTACAAAAGGCACAAATTCATGCAGTCTTGAAACAGCACCTAGTCTGCTTAAACGTACATGAAGACCTAAGCATTTAAAAGAAGAAAAAGAAAACAAAAAAAAGCAATTAAACCCTATTAATGTATGTTTAGTTAACTCATCAAGTTTGGAAAAATTGGGTTATTAAAATGTATTTTAACTAGAGTTGAGGTTGTATATCAGTCTCACAATGCTTGCCTAGCAGGCAAGAAGCCTTAAATACAATCTCCAATCTGCCCCCCAACACACACACATTCTTACTAAGTTTATAAATGATACTTGAAAATGAAAACATGTGACTTCTAATTTTGAAATACAGTATCATTAAACACAATCCCGCACTGTGCAGCATCTTACATGGTATATGCCTCATAGAAAACTCAAAGTCGGGGCTGGACACGGCTCAGAGGTTAAGAGCACTGGCTGCTCTTCCAAAGGTTGTGAGTTCAATTCCCAGGAACCACATGGTGGCTCACAACCATCTATAATGAGATCTGGTGCCCTCTTATGGCATCCAGGGATACATGAAGGCAAAACACTGTATACATAATAAATAAATAAATCTTAAAAAACAAAACAAAACAAAAAAACCCCAAAACTAAAAGTCTGCCTTCTCCAGAGGTTTATTCTACTCTAAAAGAGAAGTCAAAAGGGCCAGCAAGATGCATCAGCGGGTAAAGGTGCTTGCTGTCAAGCCCAGTGACCTGAGTTCAAGCCCAGACTCACATGGTGGCAGGAGAAAATGAAATCCCACAAGTTGTCTTTTGATCTCCATACACTCACAATAGCACATCACCACATCCAAAACAGAAATAAATACACAAATGTAATTTAAAAGATAAAAGGAAAAGCACCAAGTTGGACCTTAGTGAAGTATGAAGTGTAAGTAAGCGTCCTTGAATAAACATTAAGGTAACAGCTCTCAAAGGACAGAAATAATGACAGTCTTTAACTCCAGTATCTAATAGGGGAATATGATGGAATAAAGAAAAAGAAAAATTACTCTTCTACTTCAAGTATCTAGAAGTTTCCAAAAATATACATAAAAAGCAAAAAAACACTCACCAGCAAGAGTTCTAGAGAGTGGTAGGTGTATGCTTACAAGGTCCTCAGATACTCTGTAGGATTTGGTTTCCAAAACATGACCACACAATTGTACTACTGTCTTGCTACTGGACATGAAATTTGTACTGCACTTCATTACAGCTTTGTGACATTCTTTATAAGCCACTAGTAAGAGATCTTCCTGAGGGAAAAGAAAAATACAAATTCATTTAGCTACTTTGTCACCTACTAAATAAATATTTACTAAATATAAGTACAAAATTGTTCTGTGTATTCTGAGGGTTACTGCTACAGGATGTAAATATAAAATATAAACATTTTTAATCAGTAAAATTTGTAGGCACCAATTAAATAATATAATTACGCTAAAAAGGCCAAGAAAAAAAAAGCATAATTGGGAAGACATATTTTTGAAAGCAGCTTTCCAAAAGGCCCTAATACACACACACACATACACACACACACACACATACATACACACACAAGAGAGAAAATTTGTTTAGGGTTGTAGCTCAGATGTAGCTTTGACACAGTATGTATGAGGCCTCAGTAACATTGAAGGGAGAGGAAATAGACACACACGTGAAAGTGCAGGCACATGGGGTGGAAGGCTATCATCTAAGGGTTTAGAAAAGCAACTGGCAGAGCACCTTTCTTTCTTTCCTTTTCTGAGACAGGGTTTCTCTGTGTAACAGGCCTGGCTGATCTCAAACTTACAGAGATCCACCTGCCTCTGCCTCCCAGAATCAAAGGTGAGGCGCACACCCAGCAGATGTTTCTAATATATCCCTAGATTTGATCCCTCATACCATACACACAAAGAATTTAAGCAAGAGGAAAAATGAAAAGGAGGCATTCTAAGAAGAGATTTACAAAAATGTTTAAATTGGAGGAAAACACAACTCCCATTCAGACAGTGGAAAGTATTAAAACCTAGATGAATCAAAGGTTTTATAGATGGAGCTACTGAACCTTAAACTGGAAATAGTGCAGTACGCAAATAGTCTGACAGTGTCTGAAAGTGCAGTGAATCAATGTATTTTTCAAGAATTAATGTAAGTCACCAAAAGTGAAGAAAGAAAAGGATGAAATGAGGAGACACAAGCACCAACAGGAAGAGGATGTGCATTTGGGATGCAGAAGAATCAAAGGTGAGTGAGTATGGCAGGAAAAGAGGAGCCCCAGTCACCGAGTTTACTCAGTGTGTCCACACTGGCTTTATCCCCACAGACAAATCCTGGAAACATTCCTCTTAGGTATCAGCAGACTGATTATCAAACACAGAATACAGAGGCTCTGAGATTTCTTATGTGGAAGAACGTTTTAATAGCAATGCTAATAACAGAACAAGGAAAGTCAAAATGAACAAATATAAGTTGGAAATCAAAGAAAGTGGTAACAAATGAATTTAAGATACTCTGAGTCTGAAATATACAAAATATGGTAGTCTAAGTACAAATGTCTGGCATGCAAACTGAAGTGAAACTATAGTTTGGGCAATGTATACCTTTAATTAATTAATTAGTTAGCTAATTTAATTAGTAGAAAGCATGAAAGACCTTTATAGAAAAATACTGGGGAAGCTCTTCTGGCAAGAAGAAGGAGCTGGAATAACGCAATCACTAATTGAAGCTGATAACTGATAATGAAGCTATTAGGATTGTGCAGGCTAAATCTGAGGAAAAAAAGATTCAAGATGACCTAGGAATTTAACTCAAGCCAACACTACAGGAAAAAAAAAATCAAGAAATAAGGAGACTAAGAAAAGCCTTCTAAATCTATTGTGGACATAAACATGTTTTGTTTTAATGCCAGGTGTGGGATGTGGGACTGATTCAGACAGTCCACAGCAGCAAACTATTTGCCTTGTGTGGGCTCGAAGGGAAGCTCTTTGCCAGCTGCAGATAGTTTAAGTCTGAGGACTCTGGAGAGAGAAAAAATGCCAGAGCCCAGAGAGTGTTGAGGAGTTCTGATAAAGAACAAGGCGGCTGCTGCTTCCCCACTTCGGCTCCTGTTGTTGTCAATGAAGTGAGACAGGAAGTTGGAGATCTCTTGAGATGAGGACTGGACTGGCTCCAAGAAACCTGCTGACCCTAACCAGCAGGAAGCAGCTAAGAGAACTACTCCCACTAATCCTTTCTCTCGCCTACTTGGTATTGGGGTGTTGGGAATGGGGTGGAGTAGGGAGAAAGATACAAAAAAAATGTAAATAAAATGTTTAAAAAGTACACAAACATAAATCTGCTTACTAAATTAATTAAGTTTTTTTCTAAAAACAGTCAATTAATAGGAAGAGACTCAAACTCTAAAGAAGTGTTTGGACCTAATATATAAAGATAGTTATATATATTTACATTTATTAGATAGATATCTGTAAGACTTCAGAAGATGAGGGAGGTGTGATGATGAACAACACCCCTGGACAAAACCTCCTAAGCTGGGTCTTGGGGGCCCTGAGGCAATTCCCTTCTGTTATTGCAAGGGGCTTCTATTGTTCTAGAGGGTAGGAGTCTTATGTGCCCATTGGCAGGTAAGTGCCAAAAACCAAACCAAACCAAAACCAAAACAAAAACAAAACAAAACAAAAGACAACCAAGGAGGCAAATTCCAGTAAAAGTAGTGTAAGTTGGAACTAAGACCCTTAGTAAAGGCATTGGTTTTAGATAAAAGAAACAAAAAGGTGAAAATTGAATGAAGACACAGAGAAACCTGGTCAGATTATGTGGACTTTACAGAAACACTGGAGGAAATAATGGCACTGACACTCAGGAAATGTCAAATTTCTCAGTAAAAATAAAAGAGTAGCCACAAAGATGACTCAGTGGGTGAAGTGTCTGGATCTCAATATAAAAGCTGCATCTGGTGGCCTCCTATAACCACGGTGCTGGGCCCAGACACGAGCTCGCAGAGGGCCAGCCAGCCAGCCTAGAGGAAACGGTAAGGCCTAGGTTCAGTGAGAGACAATCTATCAATGAGGTATAAAGATTGATGGCACTCAGTGTCAACCTCTAGCCTCTACATATGGACAGATGGGCACACACAAATGAAAGTAAAGAAATAAAGTCATATTCTCTTGTGGGCATGGATATGGAGAGTATGGTTGTCTGTGTGTATGTGATGCATATGTGTGCATGTACCTATGTAGAAGATTGTAACCTTGTGTTCTCTGTTATCCCTCAGAGAATCCATTTTGTGTTTTCACTAGAACCTGGGTTTCACCTGTTAGCTAGGGTAGTTGGCCAGAGAGCCCCAGGGAACTTCATGTGTGCACACGCTCTCCCAGTCCTGAAATTACAAGCACACACAATAGCTGTCTTATTATGCGGATGCTGGAGCTCAACAGAACTCAGATACGAATGACTGCATGGCAAGCACTTTACTGTCTAAGCTACCTCAATAGGCCAGGATTGGGTCGTTACAGAGAGCAAGGGTTATCATCTAAAATTGTTGCTTACACAATATATTTGTTTCATACTTTGAAATTAATTTTTAAGTGGCTTACATATGTAAGAAACTTATTGATTAAATAAATATCCATTCCTTTCCATTCTTGAAGTATTTAATAATCTTCATGGTACAATTTGTCATACTACTAAAATTCATTTTAAAATAAATATGTAAGTATATATGGAAAAATTTGGGGTGGACAGGTTTTCATTTTGTTTTTTTTGTTTTTTTTTTTTTTTTAGTTTTATTTTTCGAGACTGGGTTTCTCTGTGTAACCCTGGCTGTCCTGGTCTTGCTTTGTAGACTAGGCTGGCCTCGAACTCAAGAGATCCACCTGCCTCTGTCTTCCAGAGAGGAAGCTGGGCACCACTGAGCCCAGCTCAGCGAACCGGTTTTGAAAGGGTCTTGATATATAGAGCTCTGGATAGATCGACACTACGTAAGCCAGGATAGTCTGGAAGTCAGAGAAATCCTCTTGCCTTACTTAGCCTCCCAAATGCTAGGATTACAGGTGTACACCACCACACCTAAAACATACAATTTCTTTCAGATTTATTTTTACTTTATATATTTGTGTGCATCTGTGTGTGGTATTTGCACACTTGTACAGGTACCCAAGAAGGTCATAAGTGTCAGACTCCCCTGAAAATGTAGGTATAGGTGGTTGTAAGGTGCCTGATGTGTGTTGGAAGCCAAATGCGGTTCCTATGTAAGGCCATCATGCACTCTTGGCCCCTGAACCCTCTTCCCAGCAGTCCTAAGATACGTTTTAAGATGACTTGATGGTGTTATGTGTGGGTGCACCACTTGCACTGCCTATGGAGGCCACAAGAGGGCATCATCTGGAACTGTAGTCACAAATGCTCTTGAGTCACTCTCTGAACCTCTGAAAAGGCATCAAGCACTCTTAACAGCTGAATCACTTCTCCAGTCCCCAAGGCAGATATTTTCAAACCTTTTAATTCTTCTAAATAAGTAAACTTCCCAGAGACACCTTTTCTAATCAAATGTAAAAGAATGAACTTTTTTTCCTATACTTAGTAATATAATTTTAAGTATCTAAGACTGTCACATTATATACTTTTATATCAAGAAAGCTATAGGGGGCTGCAGACATAGCTCAGAGGTTAAGAGCACTGGCTGTTCTTCCAAAGGTCCTGAGTTCAATTACCAGCACCCACATGGTGGCTCATAACCATCTATAGTGAGATCCGGTGCTCTCTTCTGGTGTGCATGCACACATGCAGGCAGAACATTGTATAAATAATAAATAAATAAATCTTAAAAAAAAAAAAAAAAAAAAAAGGTTGGGCGCTGTGGCCCACGCCTTTAATCCCAGCATGTGGCTCTCTGTGAGTTCTAGGCTAGCCTGGTCTACAAAGTGAATTCCAGGACAGTCAGCCACCACTACACACAGAGAAACCCTGTCTTGAAAAACCAAAACAAAAGAAGAGAAAGCTATAGCATAAAACTATGCTACTAGAAACTATTAGAGCTTATGAAGGCACCAAGCCTACTGTCAAACTTTAACTCACATCACAAGCACACCACTCTTGGAGCATGAGCAAAATGTTCTTCAGCTGCATCTGTATAGCAATGGCAGCCTCCCAGTCAGGGTCCACTTCAATGTGCTGCCCAACTTGTCTTCTGATTTCTTCCATTCCCTGCAAGGAAAGACTAGTCAGTCCAGAGCCCTTCCTGTTACTGTTGATCTTTTATGGCAAAATATAAAAATACCAAGATTTATATTCCTAAATGCACAGTGTCCTAACATGGTTGTTAAACTACAGAATATATGAGTTAGAACACTAGCATTTGGAATACACCGTTCATATCTGGCTGCAAACACCAGCAGCCAGAAGTTCCCGTTCCCTCACGTGTAAAACAAGAATCATAGCAGCAAAATAAACCATAAGCTAATTCATGTAGTCATAACCATATATTTATCATGTGGCAAGCAGTCAATAAGCCTTAATAGTAGCAGAAGTAACTAATTACATACACACATCTAAGCTAGTGTTTATATCTTATTTCTACTATATTAAAGAAATTTCCTTCTGTGAAAAAAAACAACAACAACAACAACAAAACACCACAATTTTCTTCTTTAAAAAAAATGAGGAAAAGGGCTAGAGAGACAACTCAGTAGAAGACACTGCTCTTCTAGAGGATGCAAGTTGATTATCAGTGCCCACATGCTGGCTCACAACAACCTGGAATTGCAGTTCCAGGGGATTCAACACTCTCTGGCACACATGGATACCAGGCTTGCACGTGGTGCACAGATACAGTCAGAAGACACCCATCCAAATAAATTAGGAATAAATCTAAAAAAATAATAATAAAATGGGGGGGAAAAGAAGATGAATTTAAAAAAAAAACCCACTTTTATTTTATTGGTACACCAAAGAATTATCATACCTGCATACAGGTAAGAATCTTCAGAAAAGACCGGAAACCTTCCAGGAACTGTGCTCTTAATCTTTCTGTCCATATTATAGGCTTGCTAATCAGGATGTATCTGTCATTTCGATAGAAAAATAAATAGCTCACTTCTTTATTCTGAGATGATCTCATATTTACAGACAATATTGACTCATCAAAATTGTGAATTCTAATTTCTTAGAGTAACTGGAACCTCTGAGCAGAAATAGAGTAATTTAATTGGCTTTATTTACATAAAACTAGCAAAATAAGAGAATCACTACAAGACAGCCATCAACGCTAAGTCTGGCCTTCTAAGTTCCGCTTCAGATTTGTTAAATGAGCAACTCAGCATGTCACAGGACAGGCCTGACACAGACAACTGTATATAAATACAGCTCAAGACTTCCTCAGATTTTTCATAACCACCACTCAATAAGCCAAGTCAAATCCTGCAGCACAGGTAATTTCAAACAAACTTCCTAGCTGCAAGTTTTCAGAACCAGAACCTGAAAGAAGGATGTAAAAATCCCTATGTGTTATGGTGCCTTGCACATTAGGATGTACAAATTTAGAGAGATGAGCAGGTTCATGCTAATCTAAAATTCACCAAATCTTTCTTTTAGCTGAAAAGATAATAATTGGTTTTAATGGGAATAAAGTTTATCATGGAATAAGGTCTCAGGTATGATTAAAAAAACTATTAAAATTATTTTACACTCAATGAGTCAAAATACATTCCTAATATATATATATATAGAATATATATATTCTATATATATAGAATATATATATTCCTACTATACATACACACAGATACACACACACATACAGGAGGAAATTTTAATTAAGGAACTCTGGTAAGTTTCAATAGGTTGGTACATATGCAAAAAGGAAAGTAAAAGATAAATAAGCAGATCGCTAGAAACCGAGAGTATACAAAGGGGAGAGAACCATGAAGTGTATGAGTGATTGATAAAAAACGGCAAGTGTGGAAATCACAATGGAGAATCACTTGATGGCCCAAGTACAAGTTACAGCCTGTCCTCAGTACCTTCTTCATTCTATTGGTTTTAAACTAGGACTTGGCTGAAGAGGTTTAGAGAAGTCTCGTGTTCCTCATGGGAGACCGATTCCAGGACCCCACTCCCTTATATATAAAATGACAAAGAGGATATATATAATATATATATTTTATATATAAAGTAACCTACATACATCACAGGCAATTTAATACCTATACAAAGCAGATGTTCAATAAACAGTTGTTACACTACAATGTTCGGAAATAAAAACAAGAAAAAAAACTGTACAAGTTCACGACAAAATCAATCATCTTCTTATTACTTTCAAGTTGTTGGTTGGATCACAGATATGTAGGCCAACTACAGTAGCATGTGACAGTCACATGCTTGCCACCATGATAAAAGAGTGTCCAAGATAACCAAGAGGATCAAATGCTTACTTATATGACAGACCAAGTAAGCACACTGTTTAACAGATGCCCTCACCTTTTAACTCCAACCACTTACTTTAGGTCACATATTACTGCATAGACTCTTCCCAGTTTGTCCTGGCTATAACCCTGGAAGTTGAATTTGTTATTCCTGTCCAAGTATTCAGGTAAAACTTCTAGCAGAGTTTCAGTAATGACAGAAATAACATTCTGCTCTTCAATAAGATGTCGGGCCTGTAGAATATTTCAAGAATATTGTCTTAGCATTAACTCACCATAGTATGCATTTAATTTATTCATTCATTGGTTGACCAGTATTTGATTTTATTTTTGAAATAATATCTCACTATGCACCTAGTCTGGCTTCAAACTTAAAATTCTTCCTGCCTCAGTTAAAGAAAGCACACCCATAAAGAAATTTGTTTGTTTGTTTGTTTGTTTGTTTGTTTTGGAGGCAGGATCTCTCTATTTTATTTTAAAATGATTTATTTATTTATCTATTTTTTTTTATGTTCATTAATGTTTTACCTACATGTATGTTTGTCTGAAAGTGTTGGATCCCCTGAAATTGGAGTAACAGGCAGTGGTGAGCTATCATGTGGTTGCTGGGAATTGAACCCAGGACCTCTGGAAGAACAGCCAATGTTCTTACTCTCTGAGCCATCTCTCCAGCCACAAGTCTATTTAAGTCCCAAATATCCTAAAACTTGCTACATAGGCCAGGATAGGTTTAAACTCACAAAGATCTTTTTGCCTCTGCCTGAGTGCTGGGATTAACAGCATGTACCACCATGCCTGGCCAGAAATAAATAATTTTTAATAAATGAATATTTATTTTCTTTTTATTTATTTACTTATTTGTTTGTTTATAGGCAGGGTTTCATTGTGCAGCCTTGGTTGGACTGGAACTCACTATATAGACCCGGCTGACCTTAAACCCATAGTGATCTGCCTGCCTCTGCACTCTGAGTACTGGAAGGCCAGTACTAAAGGCCACCATGCTCAGCTGAATAAATGTTCATTGAACATTAAAACCAATTCCTAGTTTTTAAAGAATAGCAATTACTTCAGAAATAATTTCTAGGGTTGGGGTTTTGTTTTTGTTTTCAGTGCAGGAGAGCAAACCCCAAGGCTTGGATATGCGAGCCAAGTGTCATACCATTGAGCTACACTTCTAGTGTAAGTTTCTAGAGGTAAAATTCCCTTCTCCTCATTAACTCGGAAAAATGCCTGTATGGATATGCCAGACCTATTATCAAGATTATCTAAGCAAATAATTACCATCTGTAATCATACCATGACCAATGAAGAACAAAGATACCTTTCACAACTTCTATAATACTGCTACTGCCTATTCTGGTATTTCTCCCTTACTGAAATTCAGTTCTCTTCCCTATCCTTTTCTTTGACCTTTTAAAATGGGGAAATAGGAACAGTTCATCAGACTTTCAAGACAAAACAGAAAAACACAAAAGGAGGTACAGTTCTTTTTCCTCCCAAGCCGATGCAGCACCATTTTGGTCTGTTGGGCACACTCTCCCTTTCTCGGTTTTTATCTTAATTTATTTATCTACCAAAAACAATAACTAAATAACAAAAGGCAAAAATTTTAAATGCAAGGTTTTGGTATTAAAAAGACAACACGCCAGAGAGTGAGCAATGACCTTCAGACATCACTTGCAAAGACTGGGCCATCTGGACAATGGTAGTTTCCAGTTATGTTGTCCCTGGATACCCATGAGATACCACTAAAGGATTATTAAAATTTCCAAATGAAAGTAGCCCAACTTTGTGATTATCAAATGGTTTTAATTTGATTCCACATCAAGTGAAGGTCTTAGAAAGCAGAGCAAGTTCAACTCAGAAAAATCTCATACATACCAGGGTCGGGACAGTAAACATCTGGACGGACAGTGCAGTTATGGAGATGCTCCTATCATGATCATCACTGATATATTCTTTCTGCAGTTGTTTATAATACTGAAAGATGTAAGTGGAGAATCCATTGCAAATCACTACTAAAAACCTTTAAATTCTAAATTTTAGTAACTGCCACAAGTAGAACACAGTTCCTAAGACAAGTTAACATAATTCTGCTTATCATTATCACAGTTGACAAAAAACATCACAAAAAGCAAGAAACAGAAGGCTAAGATATGAATTTAACTATCTGATCTAGCAGAGTTAGACATACTATTAACTTTAAAAACAAAACACACAGGTAAAAATCATGGCAGAGTACAACAGCGCAGTTTACCCTTTCTCAAAACAAACAAACACCCCTCAGACAATGTTTTACAGTTTCTACTCTAACAGTACAGAGTTGGATATATTCAAAGTATTTAGCAAGTTATATGAACCAGGAAACCAATCAGTCATATTCAGTCAACCCTTAAGCAGAGCGAGCTTAGGAATTTTCTGTCCACAGTGGTGCACATCAGCTGAAAACCAGCCCTGCTGTATTAGACCAAAGACAACACCACATCTACCAAGTATTAAGCATCTTTTATACAAAACAGGAGTTGTAAACAATTTATCTATTTAATCTTTCTCTACAGAATCTGAGAGTTTAAGAGATGACCACACTGTACAAAATCTATATTTCATCTAAGTAAGATTAGCTTTGTGTAATAGGATAAAATTTCATTTCAGATCCCACAGTCATTCTATGTAGGCCCAATAATCATACGTCTAAAGTGTTTTAGAAAATATTTACTTCCACCAGCTATCATCACCTCCAAAGGACAAGACATACATATATTTTTAATACTTGTTACTATTTTATGTGAATGGATGTTTTGCCTGTGTCTATGCACCCTGTAAGTGTGGAGTGCCTGTGAAGGCCAGAAGAGAACATCAGATCCATAGGTCCTCTCAAAGAACAGCGCCTTAAGACAGCTCTCTGGCCCCTAAATATTAGTTTTTAACAATCTACTTATAACCCCCCCCCCCCAAAAAAAAAGGATCTTATGGTGCCATGTATCTACAACAATTGTTATTTTCCTCTTTGCTTCCAACTCTAGTTTTGGTTCTACCTCTACCCTGTCCTACACCTCTTAGGACTGTCTCCAAATTAAAATCAGAAGGAGTTACCAGGCTTGATAGTACACACCTTTAATCTCAGCACTTGGAAAGCAGACGCAGGCATAACACTGAGTGTTCAAGCCTAGCTAGGATCATATAGTGAGACCTTGTCTCAGAAGGATGAGGAGGGCTAGAAAGATAGCTCAGTAGTTAAGAGTTAAGAGCACTGGCTGCTTTTTCAGAGGACGCAGATTCCATTCCCAGAACCCACAAAGGTGGCTCAAAATCATCTGTAACTCCAGTTCCATGAGATTTGACACCCTCTTCTGGCTTCAGGCACAAACATACACGCAGGTATATGAAATACTCATGTACACAAAATGAAAGTAAATAAATCTTCAAAAAAAAAAAAAAATCAAAAGGAAGCCTTTAATCCCAGCATTTGGGAAGCAGAGGCAGGCAGATCTCTCTTGAGTTCGAGGCCAGCCTGGTGTAAAAGTGAGTTCTAGGACAACCAGTGCTACACAGAGAAACCTTGTCTTGAAAAACAAAAACAAAAACAAAAATCAAAAGGAGTCAATAAATTATGTATCTTTGAATAAGGCAAAATAAAAACCTCAAAGTCCCTGTTCTGTGTAACCTTGCAATCTTACTTGGGTGATAAAGCAAAAAGAATAATGTAAATAGTGTAAGGCACATGAAACAAATCAATAAAGAAACATAAAAGAGCTTAAATTTTACCTTTGTGTTTTTAATATCAGTTAAATATATTGCTTTCCTAATTCCTGCCTAATTAAATGTGCTAGTCACATGTATATCTGTTCCTCTTTTCTGCTATTCCCTTCAAGCTGACACTTCTATACTTGCAGTAATTTTACTAGCAGGCAAATAAATGATCAAAAGGGATGAGTAGGGGTGAAAAAAGACAAAGAAGAAAAATGAATGCCTGTATGAATATAATAACCTGCCTTTGCTTGGCCTTAGAAAACAAGTTATTTTCCAACTATCTTCTCTCTAAAATTACTATTTCCATTCTACCAACTACCATTTGTGAAAATACTTATATTGAATAAAATAATATTTTTAATGAAGAAAGCAATAATATAATTTAAAAGTAGCATCATATGTATCCCTTTGCTTCTCTAACTTCATTTGTAAAAATTATGTTATACTTATAAACAGCAATTACCTTCACAAATTCCATAGCAAAGAGCTTTTTGTATTCCATCTCCATAAAAAAGCTACTAAAAATCAATTCATGAAGGATCTTACGGGCACCTGTAGATCATTAAAAAAAACAGAGGATGAGGGCATCACCAAGACAGAGGCAAATTATTCCAGGTATTAGAAACAGCAGAGGTGTTTTGTTTTTTAATTACCAAGCTAGTAGTTTCAAAGATGCAGTATAGTTAATATCATGAATTAAAGAGACAGACACTACCAATCAGTTTTCCTATACCTCTCCCATCACCTCACCTTACCTTTTATCTTCTCCAAACCTGTTTTCACCATATTATTAAGATTTATTTTATTTTTAATTATGTGCAGGTGTGTGTGGCAGTGGGTATGTGCACCTGAGTGCAGAGGTTCACGGAGGATGGAAAAGGAGGTCAGATTTCCTGAAAGCTGGCTTCCAGCTGCTGCAAGCCAGCTGATCTGATCCTGGGAGGTAAACCTGGGCTCTCTGCAAGAGCAGTGCTCCCTCCTAACACTAAGCCACTGCTCTAGCCCTCATTTCTTTTTCACTACTTCACTCAGAACTACTCTAACTCTGTCCTTTCCTGTTCATACTTTTCAGACACTCTCTCATCTTTTACTTTCTATTTCTCATTTAGATTTTTTGTAGTAGTGAAAACATCGCTTTAATAAAAGCATTGCTACATGAATCTGATAAAACACTTTCAAGTAGTTCTGTCTAAATAAAAGGCACTGTTGTTAAAAAAAAAAAAAAAAAAAAAAACAGTATTCCTGGATTTTAACCAAGAAGATTAAATTGGTTAACCTTGCCTTCACATATAACAAATCAAGACTGTGTTCAATAATTGATTTCATACAAGATAGACCTTGGTCCTATGATGAAGCCACAATCTTCCCTTGGCCCCTGTGGTAGCATAAGTAGAGTTCTACTTACCTTTATAAAGTTTTGCATCCCAAAGCATTAGTCTGCTTATAAGACAGGGATTTTCAGAGCCGGGTTCTTCTATGAGGCAAGCCTGGCAAAAGATCTGCCTAAAGTCACCTACAAATAAAGGAAGTCAAATAATTTTTCTTCGTATATTTCTCCTAAAAGTGTTCTTATAGTAATATTTGAAAAGATTAAAATTAACCTTGCTATGTTTAATGCCAATAATAATCATATCAAAGGCTCAAGCGCCAATAAAAGATATTATTTGATGCTATGCATTTAAAAACAAACAAGTCATATTATATACTTGAAATGTAGTCCTGAAAAAGCCAATCTAAATAAGACAACCAAGAAATAAACTCCAATGCTACTTAAACATTTTTTTTATCATTAAATAGGGTGTATGCTTACTTGAATAGCTCATAATTTTGTTCATCCAGGAGCCAAGGCGTAAAGCAAATTTCTGGTGAGCCATGACCACAGAGTGCAGCACCTCCACATGGAGTGGGTGCTGAGAGACGTTTTCTGAATGACTCTACAAACAACAGGAGGAGTGAAAACAGCATCTAAACTGCTTTAAGTGGCCTACACTTCATAATAGGAGCCACACAGCCTTCAAGTAGCCAGACCTATTTCTACTCATGACACCGATCATGGTAACAATAAGATCACTTGGCTTTTCCACTTAGGCTCCAAGAAATAAATTTACGTTTCCTTTTGAAATTTTCTTTGTGACTAATTCAGAAAGTTACCTTTATATCCTCCTTTGCTTCCTGGCAAGCAGCATAAACACCTGCTTTGACAGCCCGGCGACCCTAATTGCAGGCGAAAATGAGAATGAGGTAGTGGGATGGTAATCATAATCAGTAAGTAACATAAAACCCACAGACTTGATGAGTTGTCAATTAGGCTAGAATAAAATCCATATGTGATACCATAAGCATGTAACTCTAGCAACCAGGAGGCAGGGAGGTCTCAAACTTAAAACACAGCCTGGGCTCTATGAGACCATGTCTCAGAAAAGGCTGAATCAGCTGGACATGGTGTTCACTCCTTTAATCCCAGCCCTCGGGGGCAGAAGCAAGCAGATAGCTATGATTTTGAGGCCAGCTTTATCTACGTAGTGGATTCTAAGACAACAAGACCTACATAGTGAGAACCTGTCTCGGAAACAACAACAAAAGGCAGGGTTGGGGTGGCATGGGGGGAGCTAAACCAGTAAGGCTGGAACAGTCCTTATAATCCTAGAACTCAGGAAATGGAAGCAGGAGGATCAGGAGTTCAAGACCACCCTCAGCTACATATCAAGTGTAAGGACAGCTGTGCTACAAGTACTCTGTCTCAAAACAAACACCTCCAAGAGCTAAGGATGTAGTTCAATGGAGCATATATCTAGAATGAGAAAAATGCCAGATTCTGTGCCCAGACCAAAATTTTAAGGTATGTGACAATTCCATGTACATAATAAATTTGGGTCATTTAGGCCTCCATTATCTTATCTCATCCCCCTCCCTGTCATGTTAAAACCCTTTTTCTAAACAAATCCTCTCCTATGTTTGTTGTCTCTTGATTTGGTAAGTCACTGAGTTTAATTATAGCTGCTTGAATGAACACAGAAAAGAAGTTATTTACTGGACTATGAACAACTTATTAGTGACAATATCACTGAAGAAAAAAAATGCTTATCCTTCCCCCAGTAACTATTAACTGCCATATTCCTCAGGGAGGAATGGGGCCTCACACTCCCCTCCCCTATCCATGATGCTACATTGATAGATCTAACTAATCCTGTTCAGGTGACCACAGCTGCTATGAGTTCAAGCTGCTATGAGTACAACAGCTACATCATAACCAGAGTAAGTTCACTACCCAGTTTTAACTCTATAATGAACCACCTTTTAAAAAAGCAGTTAACTCCTGAATGTCAGAAACGGACGTAAGACAGCAACGTAATTCACATGGTGATCACGAACCTCTTTGTCTATGGCAGTGGTATGCAACTGTGCCTCTGCCAACTCACAGTCAAGAGCTCTTTGTAGACTGTATATCACATGATCGTATGAATGGTGTTCATCGTTGAAAAGGACACAATAGTATCTTTCATTTTTCTCCCTATTTAAAAAAAAAAAAGATACATATTCAGATAGTAAAGCAAACAAAAAAATGTCATGTATTCTAAAGCAGCACCATGCAGTTTCCTATCAGTAAGGAAATATTACAATATTTTGTAATATTGTAATATCATAATATTACAATATCAATGTAATATTGATACATGACATGATTTTAAATACTATAGTGCTATGGAATTTTTTAAAATCCCATCAAGAAATGCTGTTATAGGTACTTGTAAGGCAAAAGCATTACTTGCATCAACAAGCTTGAGAAAGGCTGGATAACACTTTGTGATTCTTTGTCTCAAAAAAAAAAATCACTAAGTATTACTTCCTCAATGCTTCCATTTTCTACAATTTTTCTATACTACTTTGTCATCTTATTGGCAGTCTGTTTTATATCACTCTTAATTTTTGACTCACACACTGACAAAGGGAGAAACCTGTATTCAGGCTTGGAACCTTCAAGCAGGCAATGATAGATAATCAGATTTTATTTTTGTATTTGTCTTCTATTTAAGTGATGCTCAGGACTGGAGAGATTTCTCGAAGCTTAGAAAAAAGCTGTTTTTGCAGAGGACCCAAGTTCAGTTCCCAGCACCTATACAAACAGCTTAAAATCATCTGTAAAATCCTCTGACATGCACATGGTACATATAAATTCACACAGGTATATGCCTAAATAAAAAAAAATAAATCTTTAAGTGACATTGGCATTATAGTTTTATGAGGAAAAAGGTGGAATTTTTTTGTTATGGTAATTTTCTTTTTCAGTGTATAAAGTGGGGCTGGAGAGATGGCTCAGAGGTTAAGAGCACTGGCTGCTCTTCCAGAGGTCCTGAGTTCAATTTCCAGCAACCACACGGTGATTCATAATGAGATCTAGTGCCCTCTTCAGGCATACACGCAGGCAGAACAATGTATACATAACTAACTTCTTTAGAGGTTTCAACTGTCACTATTCAAGTACTTACAGATAAAATTTCTCAATACTTTCATTTCTTCAAGAGCTTTATGGGCCAACATGAGTTTTAAAAAAAAAGTACATTTAATATTATTAAATTCTTAATTATCACTTCTTAAAAAAAAAAAAAATAACACCCTCCAAAAAAATCTTTGTTTTTACGCCGTACTTCTGTGAAACCTTGAGTACTATACAGGCAGAAATAGTCCCAACAAGGCCTGAACTGTACTTTCATATCTAGAATTCTCTTTTTATTCCTCTGTGACAGGGTCTTCACGTGTAACTCTGCCTGACCTGGACTCTGCTATATAGAGGCTGGCCTTGAATTGACAGATATCCACCTGTCCCTGCCTCCTCCTTTTTCTGGTAAATGAAAAGCAACTATTAGTAAGAATGTGAGACTTACAGCTGTCAGAATTGCTGATTTTTACCAAAAAACAAGTTAAATCTTGATGCCTGAAATAATCTTAGCACACTATTTCCAAAGCATAAGGGAAAAGGCTATTTCCTCATCTCTCATCAAACTTGTCTTGATCATGAGAAAGCTAAATATCCAGGCTAAATGAGGTTCATTCTGAGATTCTGCTGTTCACAAACAAGTCTGGGCAGCCAGATCCTGATCAGGGCAAAATCAAAATGGGCAACTTACTTATCTACTAGCACTAGCAGCTATAAATAAAACAAGCTCCTGAAAATTCTGGTCTTTTTCTCCTTACAGATTTGAAGTTTCTGACAGACTCTTCTTTGGCTTAACTTTTGCATAGTGACTAACAAAATGTTTAAAGTAAAAACATTTTAAAAATATTCCCGAGATAATCTCCATAAATTTTTCAAAGTGATAATAATTAGGTGATTCTCTCCCTGTTGAAGAGCCCATACCCACTCTGCCTTCAGCATATGAGACTATTCTACAAAATAATTGTGCGCATATCTATTCCAAAATCATAATAAATTCCAGTTGAGTTTTGGGGGTGGGGCAAAGGAAGGAGGGAAAGAAGAAAGGAAGAAAGGAAGGAGGGAAGGGAGGGAGGGAGGGAGGGAGGGAGGGAGGAAGGAAGGAAGGAAGGAAGGAAGGAAGGAAGGAAGGAAGGAAGGAATCATCTTAGGACATGACTCAACAATGGAGCACTTGCCTTGTATGTGCACGCCCCTGGGCTCAATCCCTAGAACAGGAAAGAAAGAAGGGGAGGAAGGAAAGGGAGGAAGGGAAGGAAGGACCACAAACATAGATGCCCTATACTGTTGGCCACTTAAATAACAATCACTAAAACTGTGGCTTTTGCCAGCTCCCACCTTATCTGCAGTTCAGGGGGCAGTTCTTTTTCTTCTTCCCATATAGTCATTTCTACGATGTATTTTATCACTGAAGGGAATATCTTCCTGGCTTGAGCAATTACCTCTTCATTCAATGGGCAATGCAAGGTCTGTGAGGAAATAACAACAGCAAATACATACTGAGATTGTGTCCAAATAAATGGACAAGGAAGATAATGTGAAGTATTTTAAATAATCACTTTGGTTAGTTCATTACAAAATATTCAAGTTGAGTTCATAAGCTTTTGGTTCCAAACTGATGTTACAAATGACAGAAACACACAGACTGTGGAATACCTTTTACCCATACTTTCCCCTGTGAACTTTCTTCATTGTCTTTCTGAATAGCTTGATGATAATACCATGCAATAACTGACTATCTTTTATAGCTTATAACAACTGTTCTCACAAATTATTTCAACCAACTCTCATAGTTACTCTGGAAGTATTGATGGCGAAGAATAAGGAATGGGGCTGAAGGTGAAGTTCAGTGGTAAAGTCTTGCCTGGCATGAGCAAAGCTTGATTCTCAGCACGGGGGAGGGGAGAGAGGAAGGGGGGTATGGAAAAGAAAGAGAAAAGGAAAAGAAAAGGAAGTGTAGAGAAATTTTAATCCAGCAACATGGATACTCTGATCAAATTCAAGACCTTCTAGGCCTGCGTGATCCGGCTGGAATGCAGACACACCCTTAGTGAATACCTTTAATCTTAAACAATGAAGGTAAAGTTGGGTTGTTGAAGGAAGCACCCATGTTTAAAAGTGATGTCTAACTGAGAGGCAGACAAGGTGACGAATTAGAGAAAGATTTGATAAAAAAGGATTTGCCCAACTCTCATGAGAACCAAAAGGAAGAAGCAGCAACTTAAAGAGACAGAGCAGCGCTGAGAGATGGGGAGGAGGCAGTTTTACTAGGACAGTTACACAGAGACAGATTGCAGAGAGACACAAATGAAGACAGAATGAGCCAGAGAAGGAGAAGGAGCCAGAAGATTAGAACATATTGCCAAAGTTAGTATGAGGCCAAGCAGAACAATTCAGTCAGAAGCTGATAGAAGCAAGTTTGAATCAGTCAGCTTGGAGAAGAGTTTGAGCCAGAAGAGCTGAGTTGAACCAGGCAGCCAGAGTTCAGAAAGACCTAGAAAGGGTGATCTTATTCAGCCGTAAATTTTAGATGCTGAAAATATTCTAGGCCTAGATTATACAAAGGCTAGAAGCTTCCAGGACTAGGTCTAGATTAGCAGACATTTATACTTGGTGAAATCAGAGGAAATAAAAAGATACTTTTTACAGGAAAGGAAAGGAAAAAAGAAAAAGAAAAGGGAAGGGAAAGAACGGGCAGGGGGAAGCTCATGTGTCCACAAAAGCCAGTCAAGTCAGATACCCTTGGAACTGCCTAATGTGAATGCTGGGAACTGAATGCAAGAGTAAATGCTCTCAAGCACTGAGTCACCTCACCAGCTCCATTCCTCGTCTTCTATAAATGCTTGCTTGTTGAGACCAAGATCTACATACTGCATTTTGTTGTTCGGACTCTTAAGCCATGGACATCTACATCTAACTTAATGTCCCATCCCTAGCTGCTATCTTTTTTCTTCATGATGAAGATCAGAACAGTTTTTCTCTTAAAAGACAAAACAAAGGAACAAAACCAAAAGTTTTATGATATCTAGATTAAAGATTTTAACTGTTTCATAAGTGAGCTGATAATAATAACTTTATTGTGACATAATCAATTTATTCAATTAAGGGTAAATTTGAGCTGTACATAGTGGCTGGTGCTTATAATCTCAGCATGTAGAAGGCTGAGTCAGAAGGGTTGCCAGGAGCTTGACACCAATATAGGCTAGGGTGAGACCCCTGTCTCACAAAAACCAAAAAATATTAAGCTGCCTAGTAATACTCATGCTTATATGCACACATTAGTGCTGCTCTCTACCCACTCAAAGACGTGCTTTATAGCTGTGGCAGGCAGTTGATGCAGAGGCTCATAGTGCTCCAACTACCAACAGGAAGTGACTGACGGTGGAGTGCTTGGGTCTAAATGAGACATTGGGATCATGTCCTCCAAGGCTCAGACAACATTGTTGAACAAAAGGGGAGCAAAAACTTAAGAGCAGGAGAATAAGGTGATGAGTGGTAAGAAGATATCCCCAGGACAAGACATAACCACTGCCTCATGAGTTCACAGGAGCTGCGGTTATATACACAAGACCAGGCTTCTCAACATTTTTATCATGGGAGAGGAGCACTTGAGTCCCCACCCCATCCTGACAGACAGCTGGCAGTTAAGGGTTGCTGTGGGTGGGGGCATCATTTCTTAAGGGGTGTACCTGCTGAAAAGTAGCTTATACTCTATAAACTATTTCCCTGCTGGTGAGTATGTTCCCTCAATTACTACACTCTCACTGAATTGAAACCTTTGCCCTAGTTTCAGAAGGTAAACACACAACCATCAGATTACACTGCACTCCTGTACTCCCAACACTTGGTGAGCTGAAGGGGACGATCAGCAGAGCTAGGGGCAAGCCTGGGCTACTTAGCAAGTTTTAGGCCAGCTTGGGCTACATAGTTGGCGCTTATATTAAACAAACAAACAAAACCACACACATACAAACCCCAGCAGACAAAGAAATGGCTTTCAGTATATTCACAGATATGTACAACCACAGTCAGTAACAGAATATTTTCTCTAAACCTAATATACAATCTTTATTGCTTTTCACACCTCTAACCCATATACCTTGCTTATTCTTATTTCCTCTCCTCTCACCCTTTCCCCTATTCCCTCCTCACTTCCTGACTTACTGATACTCTTAGGTCCCAAACCAAAAAACAACTATGAAGTGTGTTTCTTCAACCAGCACCTTAGTGCTATTGTCCCCAAGCGGTACAAAGGTACAAAGGGGACAAAGGTAAAAGCACTGAAGTATTTCCTGCAGCTCACACTGTGACAGCTGTCAAACCATTACTTCAGTCAGCTTTCCCTGGACACAAAGACAAAGTACCAGGAGAACTCACATTAAACAAACCAAAACAGTAGGATTAAAAAA